ATGGCTGCTTCCAAGCCCACCTCCTGGTTGTAATTGTTCGATCACATGCAGCCCGATCGAGAAGAGATCTCCAGTCAAAAGCTACTCTCCCCCTCAGTTAGTTTTCCATTACAATCCACTTCCTCCTCACCCCTAGACCACCATCACACACACAAACACACACACAAACACACACACAAACACACACACAAACACACACACACACACACACACACACACACACACACACACACACACACACACACACACACACAATCACACAGACATACACACACACACACACAACGTGGGCAGCCTTGTGCGTAAGAGGCACAGTAATCGGGGAGCTGCAAGAACAATGAAAGGGGTACCCCAAGGACAACCAAAAAACTGTCTAATTAATAATTATAAAATTGCTTTAATATGTTGGACATCTCAAAATGCTCTCGTTGTCTGCAATAGGACAAAGACTGCTTTGATTCTAAATCTATTCACCTGGGTGGAATTGGGGCTGTTGTTGTGGGGAAAATCTAAAACACACACACACAACCTCCTGATGAGTCGGTAATCGCTGCCTGCTAGGTGGTTGGTTCCTCGTCTGTACCTGGTCGTAGGCGTTGGGAGCGTTAGGATGTGTTGTGTATTCCCTTGAGGCTGAGGCTGGCCAAGGGTGTAGGACGTATGATGAGCGGGCCAGGGTCCGCTCGTTAGGGCGGTTTCCCTTGGGTGCTTTGAGTGCTGTAAAATGCCTCCTGACGATGGTGGGTGATGATGCATTTGTGTGCTGGAAAATGCCTCCTGAGTCCGGGAGCCATCCGATTGCCCGCATTGCGGAGGTTCTCCTTTGGTTGCTTGAGATGAGTTCTTCCTCATGCCCAGCCGACACATCGTTTTCTGCTGAAAAATCACTGTAAGGCGACACACAGAGGTGATGACCATGTGATGGCTATGGCTATGGCTATGGCTATGGTGCTGGTGCTCGTGAGACGGTGATGATTATGTTCCTGAGCTTGTCCCATAGCAAACAAGTGCCAGTAGGAAAAGGATGGAAGTAACATTGAAAACGACGGTCAATTAAAAGGGAAAAAAAAAAGAAAAAAACAAAAAAAAACGACGGTCAATTGGGGACCTGGAATGACGAATGCCTAGGAAGTGTGAGACGATGACTTGCGCCTGTTTGGTTCCTTCCAATTGCAAGCGCACATGGCCACGGCACCGACCGTCTTCACCCGAATAGAACACCCGGGCATTATAGCTGTATTTGGGGCAAATTTTCAGTCCAGATGCAGCGATAATGACCGGGCATTCTATTTGGGTGAAGACGGTAGCGATTGGATAGGCTGGTGAAGTGGTATAGAGTGTGGTGATCCCCGTGGTTTGCCGTGGGAGAGAATTCCACTTGAGCCCTGGGATTCACCAAGAACGATGCAGTTGATGAGGTTTATGCCATGTTCTTGTTGGCGGGACAGGCACCGGCGGGAACCCTGAGCTTGGGGAGAAGGCTGCAGAGGAATCGAAGGCTGAGCTTGAAGATGCTGTTTCGGAGGCAGATATGGTGTTCATCACGGCGGGGATGGGAGGAGGAACAGGCAGCGGTGCGGCACCCGTTGTGGCAAGGATGTCCAAAGAAGCTGGGAATCTAACGGTGGGGGTTGTGACATACCCGTTCACCTTTGAAGGTCGGCGCAGGGCTCAGCAGGTAGTCATAAACTCTCTCTCTCTCTCTCTCTCTCTCTCTCTCTCTCTCTCTCTCTCTCTCTCTCTCTCTCTCTCTCTCTCCTTCCCTTGCCTTCCACCCCCACTTCCTCCCCGTTTCTTTGCCGAGATCTCTTTTCCTTGTCCATTTGGAACAATGCCTGCCTGGCCGTTTGTCTGTCTGTCTCTGTCAGTCATTCGGTCAGTCGGCCAGTCTGTCTGTCCGTCCGTCCATCCGTCGTTCTGTCCGTCCATCTGTTCGTCGATCGGTTGGTTGGTTCGTTCGTCTGTACGTTCGTCGGTTGGTTCGTTCGCGGGTCTCGGTCGGTTGGTTGGTCAGTCGGCCGGTCAGGTGGTCTGTCCGTCCGTCCATTCATCTGTCCGGGATGTTGGTGGGTCCATCCGTCCATGTGTTCATCTGTCCGTCCACCCGTCCATCCGTCCGTCGGTCCGTCCATCCATTTGCCTGGCTCCTCACTTGTCTGGTTAGTACGCTAGTTTCGTAACACTGGTGTGCGTTTAAGATTCTGATTATGTTGTTGAATATCTACCAACCCGAGTCTCCGTAGCTGGGTGGACCTCGGGTGTCCAATTGCCCATCGAGCTCCCTAGCCAGCAATCCAAGACACATGGCTAGCCACTTAGCTAGGAACCAGCCAACCAAGACACATGGCTATCCGCTTAGCGAGAGACAGCTGGCTAGCCACATAGCCTGGCTAGCCACATAGGCACACATGGCTGGCCATGGGAGTGAGTTTGGGGGGTGGATGATGTTGGTCCCTGTCTGTCGGGCGATGGGTGATTGCTCAGCATTGTTTTGGTATCGTCACTCTTTTTAGACTCGCAATTTTGACTCGGCCGAATTCTATTCGATCATTTGGAATTGTGATCTTTTGCAGGGACTTACGGCGATTGAAGAGCTCCGGAAGTACGTTGACACCCTCATTGTTATTCCAAATGATAGGCTTCTCGATATTGTCACCGAGGGCACACCGCTCCAGGACGCATTCCTGCTCGCTGATGATGTTCTTCGGCAAGGCGTCCAGGGAATATCGGACATCATTACGGTCAGTTGGCCTCCGCACAAGAGGATGGGTTTCGGGAGCTTGCGGGTTTTGCGACTGTGCGCTTGGCTACCAGAGTGGTTCGGGACCCCACTTGCCCGGCCAGGCCAAAATAATATATATAAATTATTATAAAATAGTGAAATATTAAAAAAATAATAAAAATGAAAAAATAAATTTTAATTTATTTTTATTTTATTTTAAATTTGGTAAAGAATTTCGATGTGACCCTGAGCCAAAAGTTGCTCAGTTTATTTTCCTGCATAACTTCAGCATAACATAGTTTTTTTTGCCCCTTTTTTTTTTTCTTTTTTTTTTTTTTTGCTCTAGGACCTTCCCTGGTCCTTGCACGGCTGCGGGCCGCCCGGGAAAATTGGGTGACCCAGGCGGCCCGGCCGGTAGCCTAGTCTGTGCGGCTTTTCTGCTGTTCTCAACCTTGTCGATCCTCTTTTTTAGAAAGAGGGGCCTCGGCCTTTTGGCTAAGATCAAGTGTAGTATCTGTTGTGATCAGTTTAATATCTGATCCGTGGTCCATCGGACCACATTAAAAAAAAAAAAAAAAAAAAAAAAAAAAARAAAAAAAAAAAAAAGAAAGAGGGGCCTTTCGCATGCTTTCATTATGCCTCAAATAACAATGAGGCCGGGAATCCCTCCTTGTGTAGCTTTTCACCCCCCACTCTCTTTTGACTGTTTTTAATCTTTCGGATGCGGCTGACAAATTGTGCTAGAGCTTAGAAGCATGAAAGCAGAAAACCTGTGTTTGTTGTCATGATATATTTATTAAAATTTATTTATTATTTTTAAATATTCCCCTTGTGATGGGGGGGGGGGCAAGAGAAGAGGGGGGGGGGGGGGGGGGGGGGGGGGGACAACAGCGGGGTTGGTGTGTCATCAATCTGTTGGCATGGCTATTTGTTTTTATTATTATTTTTTTCCTCGGCATGGCTAATTTACAAACAATGATGGCTAGTGAAAAGTGCAAAAAAAACTTAAAAAAAACGAACTGAAAATAATAACAGGGCCCAGCTGTGAATGAAAATGAAAAAAAACTTGACAAAACTAAAGCGCAATAAATTAATAATATCGGCGGCGCGCAGTTGTGAACGATCAGCGTCTTTTTTTTTTTTAAATGATCCGCGACTGCAGCTTTCTGCTAGGAAGATTTCCATGACCGGCCGGTCACCCGGGCGTGAAGCCCGGGGGGGTCTGACGGCTGGGATACCCGGGCATTGGGGGGGGGGAAGGGGAGTATAAATGAATTTTAAAGGGGCTAAAAGGGTTAAAGGGGGGTGCCTCAGTGTGATTTGGTTACTTTCTTTTTTATCTTCAGTTCCGTGAGGAATTCTGATATGACCCTCAGCCAAAAGTTGTTTGTATTGCAATTCTACACAACATATTTCTGTTCCTTTTTTCTTGGATTTTTATTTTTTTTTTGGATTTGTTTTTCTTTTTTTTTTGCGCTGGGGCTGCCCAGGCCCATGCCTGGCTGGTCACCCGGTCGTTAAACCGGGCGTGCAGTCGGGACCTGGGCGCCCGGGATATCTCGCTCGTCAGTTTCTTCTTTTTTTCTTTTTTCTTTTTAGTTTGTACTTTTTGGATTTGCTTCCGTATGTTGCTGGGAGGTAGGGAGGAGAGGACGGAGGGAAAGGAGAGGGATGGGCACGAAGGGAGGGAGGGGATGGAGGGGAGGAACGGGTTGTGAATGGGGGTTAAGAGGCATGGCTGACAGGATAGATGGGTAATATCACCCCCAAACTAGGCTACCAGAGTGGCATGGGACCACTTGCGCAACTCGGGCCCAAAAAAAAAAAAAGAAAAAAAGTTCTTCATTTTATTTTTTATTTTCCATTCGGTAGAGAATTTCGATGTGACCCCGAGGCAAAAGTTGTTCCGCTTTTGATTCTTGCTTTTTTCAGATTTGTTTTTGGCACGGACCTTGCCTGTCCCTTGCCCGGCTGGGGCGTTCTGGCAACGAAGGTGACCTGGGTGGCCCGGTTGGTAGCCCAGCCCACAAACACAGCATAGGAAGGTCGGGAAGGAGGGAAGAGAAGGGACGGAGAGATGGATGGAAGGATGGGAGGCTATGTTGGGCAGGAAGGGAGGGAGGAGATGGAGGGCAGGGGCTCGACTGAGAGGACTTGTTCGCTCTCTAGGTTAGTGTGTCTTTTTTTTTTTTTTTTGCGTGTGCGTGTGTGTAAGCCCAGGTTGTGGTAGAGGGCAGGTTCCGGACAGACAGTGGTCGCAGTCATGAGTCTTGTTTGTTCTTGCTGATGGGGAGTTACAAGTTAGGCGATGGAGAGAGCGGAAGAAGAGATAGATGGGAGAAATCATAAATGAGTCTTTTAAAATTTAAACTCTTTTTTTACATTATCGGAGTGGCGCGGGACCACTTGCCCGGCCAGGCAAAGAAAAAATGATTAAATTAAAGATTAAAGATTAAAAAAAATTAAAAGGAAAAAAATAGAAAAAATAATTTCTTAATTATTATTATTATTTTTTAACTTGGCATTGTGGCGAAGTGTTTTTTTTTTTTTTTTTTTTTTTTTGGGCAAATAATTTTCAATGTGACTCTGAGGCAAAAGTTGGGCCTCGCTCGGCTGCTACACCCCATGAACTGTTGAAATGCAGACCCAAGTTCGAATCCAGAATCCCGATGCAACCGGACGACCAGAATAGAATGATTGTGAATTCCCTGGGGCCTGTAAGGTCAATGATCATATCTCAAGGCTGTCGCCCTTTGTAAAAAAAGAGGGAAAAGAAGAAGGGTTTTCAGTTTGTTTCTCTTTTTTTTTTCTCCTTTGGCAGGGACCTTTTGTGGCCCTTGCCCGCCCAGGCAACCAAGGTTACCCGGTTGGTAATGCAGCTTGCTATTATTAATTTATTATAGTATTAGACTATGATTGTTGTTGGAGCAAAAAGAAAAAAGAACAAGTACAGGTGTCAATTGGTTATGAAATTGATTATCAAATTGATTATCAAATTGATTATCAAATTGATTATCAAATTGATTTTCAATTCGGGCGCAGATCGCGATGCTGAATCGTCAATTTTTGAACTTGTGAATGCACCAGATACCCGGTCTTGTTAATGTGGATTTTGCAGATGTGAAGGCGGTTATGAGCAATTCGGGCACAGCGATGTTGGGCGTCGGAGTGTCATCGGGAAAGAATCGTGCCGAAGAGGCTGCGATTGCGGCCACATCCGCTCCTCTGATCGAGAAGTCGATCGAACGCGCTACCGGCGTCGTTTACAACATCACTGGTGGTACGGACCTTACGCTCCAAGAGGTCAACTTGGTCTCTCAGGTACATCGAATGGGCAAGTCGCGGGGACTCAACTCCACCCCCATCCAACAACCCTCTCTTCTCACTCAAAGCCCTCGCACTCAAGTCTCCACTACGGAACCAACTCCCATTCCGGACTTCAAACATCATTTTTTACTTGAATGTACTTCGCTTACTCGACTTGTTCCCTCGAAATCGGCTCAGGGCATACTTGTTATAGTTACTTCATGCATGTATGTGGCCGCGAATGCGTTCAGATTCCATCACAATCGTCCCTAGCGCGCGCTGCCATTTTTTGCCGAGGCGATCACTAACGCTCTGCAACTTTCTAAACACCACCTGCTGGAGCTAAAGGCTGCAAGCGCCAGCCAAGAAGGAAAACGCGGCAGTTCATTTTTTTTTCCCGTGGCGCGCAGAGTCTTTCTATGCTCGGCAAGGGAAGGGTCATATCGACTGCTGGTTTAAGATAGAAACTTGGCAAATCCTATTTCACCTCTCCAGTAAATGATCCTTCCCTTCAGGAGATGCGCCTGTCCATCATTCTTTCTTTCTTTCTTTCTTTCTTTCTTTCTTTCTTTCTCTCTTTCTTTCTTTCTTTTCACAAAACGCACAAGCCCCTTTATATTCTGGGAGGTTTCCCCCCCAAAAAAAAAANAAAAAAAAAAAAAAAAAAAAAAAAAAAAAAAAAAAAAATCTGGGAGGGCACCAGTCTTGTTACTTAGTCCCCAGCAAGCATATGTCTGTTTCAAATGATCGCCTGTTTCACCTACGGTAAACCAAGGTATGTCTTGACATCAGGTTGTCATCACCTAGCCCAGACATTGCAAAGGGGTTCACATCAGCCGATGACCCACAGCTAAATGTGGTTTTTCTTTTTTTCTTGAACCATTTCTCCATTTATGCATGTGACCGAGCGAAATGTTGCTGTCCATTTGTGTCCCATTTGTGTCCCATTTGTGTTGCGTTTGTGTCCCATTTGTGTGCCATTTGTGGCCATTTGTGTGCTCTTTGTGTCCCCTTCCTTATGCTTGTCTCATCCCTTTCATAGCAAACTGCTGCTACTTGGGACAGCTTCCATTTGCATGCCCCAGTCTACGGGCATCGCACTGTTTTGATGGCCAGCTGTGGATCCTTCTGGCAGTGGCATCAGGCTTCGCTCCACTACATCGCTTGGTACATGCATCTGAGCAGGGGCATGGATCACGTGTATTCGGACTAATTGAACATCTTGAATGACCCCATCGGGACCACCGCTAGCTCCAGATGCATTTGAAATGTTGTGCAATGGAGCAAGGCCCATGGGTGAGGCGTCCGGCTTTTGCATTTTGCTCTTTTCCTTCCGCCCCCCCCTCCCCTCCCCTCCCCCTTGTGCAGGGGCCTTCTCTGTATCATTCCAATCTCAACAGATGTCCTGAGGGACAATTGCATTTTGTTTTGCTGGCCAGCTGCCAGGGGAAAAAAAAAAAAGAAAGAAAAAATCAGTCATGGAATGTGAATCAGGATTGCAATAACAGATGACAATCACGTACCGTGACAAAGATTTCGGTTACAGGCTATATTACTGTCTTCTCCCCCACATCTGTTAAATTGGAACTTGCAGAGAAAGGTCATTAGCATGGTGGTCCTGGCGCAAAACTGATGACACGCATGGATGGAGAAATGAAAGGGAAAAGAAAAGAGGATGCACACATTGCACGGTACAGTCTAGGTACAGCAATATTGACTGGGCAGGCGACTTGCGTTCTTTTCCGGGCAAGCTGGTATATAGGGCAGGTATGGTTGTCGTTCATCTGCCCTGCGGGGTCCGTAACTGCCAGCCGTTACGAAAGGTAAAACCTTCTTTGGCCCAAAATTACTGCCACCAGTCACTGAAGGTAACCAACCGGTTTGGAAGAAGCAAAAAAAAGAAAAAAAAATTAACGACACACGAACACTTGCATGGTCAACGGCACAGAAGCAATCGAGTCGCCACGGCTGGGGAAATGCCGTACAAATTAGCGCAATAGCGCAAACGGCCGCCAACATCAAATCCACTGCACCCAGGAACTGCCGAACTTTCTGTCGACCCGACAGAGTCACTCATAGCGCCGCTGACTCCTTTCCGTGTGAGCTCCGAAGAGGACCCAAAGCGCGGGACCCAAACTATGAGACCCAAAGTGCGGGACCCAAAGCATGGGACCCAAAGTGCGGGCTCCTTTCGGTGCGAGCACCGAAGAGGACCCAAAGCGTGGGACCCAAATCGTGGGACCCAAAGCCGGGGACCCAAAGCCTGGGACCCAAGGCGCGGGACCCAAAGCCCGGGACCCAAAGCGCGGGACTCAAAGGCAGGTCCTAAAGCGCGGAACCCAAAGTGCGGGTCCTAAAGTGCAGCTAGGAATTTGCAAGGGGGGTCGTGGCTGTGCCAACAGGGTTGTCAGGATAGGCTGATAACCCTTGGAATTTGGAAGGGGTGGTCGTGGCACTGGTCTTATGCCCACAAGGATGGATGTCCAATGTGTCTGTTGCATGGGCACAGCTTGCGGTGATGCCCGAGCCCTGATCGAGTCATATATGGTGGTTTAGACAAGTTAGCAGCGGGACAAATGGGTGTCTGATGGAACCTCGGGACTCGAGGTGCCGATCCTGAAGTCCACAAAAGGCGGCGTGGAGCACAAGGTGAGTGCATAGCACACAGAGGTAGTGCATAGCATGGAGGCTGCTTATATCGCAATGACAGCGCATCATAGTGTGCACTGTGCAGTACCATGCACAGTTCATAATAGACATTCCACTCCTGAAGTTTTGAAAAGCCAGTGAATAGCACTGCGACAATGCATAGCAGACAGGAAGGGCATAGCGCAGAGGCAGTGCATAGCCGCAAAGGCAATGCGTAGTATGAAGTACTATGCATAGTATGCAGTACTATGGATAGTATGCAGTTGGATAGTATGCAGTACTATGCACAGTGCACAATATATAGGCAATATGTTTGCGAAGTCGTGGTGGTGTTATTTCAACTTAGTTGGGCAAGTCACCAGAAACCTCTGTACATCATTTCACACAACCACTTTCCGTTTCTGTCTGTTTGTTTGTTTGTTTGTTTGTTTGTTTGTTTGTTTGTCGGGGGCCATGCGAGTACTTTTCTCTGTATCGTTCCAATTTTAGTGGATGTCCCAAAGGACTTTTCTGTTCTCTCAAACTGCCGCCAGTCTATCCGGAGCCTTTTTTCTCCCACACCGCGGCGTGATCTGAGTCGCTAGGCACAGAAGCTGCTTGGCCTTTTCTCTGTTTTTTTTTTCCGGAGCTTTTTTTTTTTTTTTTTTTTTTTTAATTTATTAATTTGGACCATTTCTCGATTTATCCGTGTCATCCTTGCGCAGGGGCCATGCTAATCTTCTTTCTCTGTATCGTTCCAATTTTTACGGATGCCCCGAAGGACATCATCCGGAGCTAAATTAGCGAGCCGAAAGTTGCATTTCTCCGAGCCCAGAATCCACAGTGCCAGCCTTCGAAAAGCATCTACAGTTGCCCCTTCCCACCAAGCCTCTACTGCGCCTGGGCACTGTAGATTTTCTCCCGGTCCTCGTGTATGCGCAAATATTGAACAGTGCCGTCTGCGGATGGTCTGGTGGTTTCAACTTTAAAGTTTAAAGCACCATTACCCCCAGGGGGGGTCTTAGGCCCCCTCTGGGGAGGCTCTGACGCAAATGCATATGGACCCGCGCGGCGCACCGATTCAGCCACCGCGTTAACGGCCTAAAAACGTCCAGGTAAAGGGAGTAGCCCCCAATTCCGCCGGCGTGTGCTCAGGTGTCATGAGTGGTTTTCAACCTGTTCTTCTGAGTCCCGACTTGCCGGTGGAATAGTAACTGTTTTGTTTTGGTTTGTTTTGGTTTGTTTTGTTTTGTTTGGTTTGGTTTGGTTTGGTTTGGTTTGGTTTGGTTTCGTTGGTTTGGGTTGGGCTGGGTTGGGTTGGGTTTGGTCGGGTTGGGTTGGGTCGGGTTGGGTTGGGTTTGGTCGGGCTGGGTTGGGTTGGGTTGGGTCGGGTTGGGTTGGGTTTGGTTTGATCCTATTGGTTTTGGTTTGGTCTGGTCTGGTCTGGTCTGGTCTTGTCAGTCTTTGTTTGTTTGTTTGTTTGTTTGACTAGCCCTAAGCAAGGCCCATCAGCATTTGGAATTGTGATCTGGTCCCTAAGAGTTCGATGTGTGTAAGAAGATTGAAAAGAAGTGTGTGCCAGTGAGCCATACAGGCGGATACTAACGTCGTTATCTTCTTCATTTTTTTTGCTGTCTTTTTTTTTCTTTTCGCCGTGCTGCTGTGGGTATGCGCGCGTGGTCAATTGTTGAGCAGGTAGTTTCAGAGCTGGCGGATCCATCAGCCAACATAATATTTGGAGCGGTCGTGGATGAGCAGTACAACGGTGAAGTGCATGTGACGATTATTGCAACAGGATTCTCGCAATCTTTCCAGAAGGCGCTCATCGATCCGAAAGCGAGTCGCGAACTAGAGAAGACGGAGCTGCCGTGGCGGCGGCAGATTCCTCTGTCTGTACCAAGCCGCCCGCAAAATGCTATTGGAAGAGGGTTCTAATTCATAATTCGAGGTCCCGATTGCATCGTCGAACGGACTGTCCGTTGGCGAGTTCTGCATCTCCCCCCTCCTGGGCCGCAGGTATGGTCCATTGGTTGTCCTTTGGATGACTCGTTCGATGGCCCATGGGGCATTTCTTCTAGTCCGTTGATCTATTGATGCTGTTGTTGTGACGCATGCCATATATGTTCCTCCTCTCTCTAGTTATGTGCAGCTGCGAAAGGCTTGCCTTGCGAATACCCATTGTTGCCTGGGGAATTGGGCCCCATGTGGGACATATATTTTATATTTTTGATTTAACAGATCTTTTATAGCACCCATGCACCAAGTACCTATAACATGATCCATCCTCTTCTCCTGATCTGAAAAGCTGCAGGGTCTCCAAAATGGGACACTGGCACACACAAAACACACATGCCACCCACACACAGAGAATGAGGGCTGAGAGAGAGAGAGAGAGAGAGAGAGAGAGACGGAGTTCATACAAGCGATTGCAATAGGTGCAGCAGCCAGCAGGTACTGGCTGGGGAGGTCACGTAACCCTTTCGGAAAAGGTGTGCTAAGAAGTACAGGTTTGGTTTGGTTGTTTCTTATACATGCAAATTTTTGAAATTGGGTAAGAGGGAAAGAAGATTGGGAGGGAAGCAAAGGGGGGGCACTAGTTGCAGGGAACCACATGCTGGAGCACCTGTTGCATGCAGTGGGTTGCAAATCTTTCCTGCCTGCGTGTCTTGTCAGCAGGATAGGCCTGAATATTATTGCCGGGATGTGTGCGTGTGTGTGTGTGCGTGTGTGTGTGTGTGTGTGTGAGCTCACGCATGTGCGAGTGTGTGTGTGTGTGCATGCGCGTGTGTGTGTGTGTGTAGCAGCGAGTGCACATTTACAAGGGAGGAAAATGTGCACTCAACAATATCTCATTGCAGCAAACTCTATGTAGTATGTTGGAGTAAATCCAGTATAGCATCAAATACAGTTCATGCTATCTCACCATTCTATTACGGCACTACAATGAGAGAGAGAGAGAGAGAGAGAGAGAGAGAGAGAGAGAGAGAGAGAGCATGCACGCTCAAGAGAGAGAGAGAGAGAGAGAGAGAGAGAGAGAGAGAGAGAGAGAGAGAGAGAGAGAGAGAGAGAGAGAGGGTTGCTTGCTGCAGTCAGGGAATTGGCTTTGTTAACCCTGATTTGCAGGAATCCAGTTGTTCTCTTCTGGCCAGTGAGAGAAAGGGTTAAGCCTTCATCATGCATTAAGCTATGTGGGAGGCTGGCCGCTACTGAGCAATAGGCGGTATCAGGTCGCAGGTTACGAAGGACCTGACCAATAGCTCCTTTGAAATTTTCGTTCTCTATATTTGTTTGTGTGGAGGCTTTTGTGAGTACAGATTTTAAATTTCGACTGCCTGAGTTTTGTTTTTGTCATCATTGGTTTGCCCCCTTTCCTCTCTCCTTTTCTGAAGTTCTTTTTTCAGTTTTTTACACTTTTCTGAAGTTCCCTCTCCCCCCCCCCCCCCCCC